TCAACCTCCACACCAACGGGGAAGAGTTATTGTCCTTGATAATTACTAACTCACCTAGTTTAAGGTTCTCTTGGTTAACTAACCATCGTCCTTTGGTCTGTAGAGTATGCAAATACTCGTTGGACCAACGACGCCAGAACGATTGAAAAACCTGGTGGAGGAACTTCCAACGGTTTTTGAAATTTGTCGAGCTGACAGAGATCTCTGGTTCAGGCACCGCATACAAGTGTCCACCAACCAGAAAATGACCAGGGGTAAGACAGTCTAAATCATTCGGGTCATTAGACGACGGCGTTAACGGTCTAGAGTTCAATACCGACTCTATTCTACACAAAATTGTCGTGAACTATTCGTACGACAGAATCTGGTTACCGACTACCCGAACCAACAAGAGCTTAGTGGAACGAACAGCGGCTCTTCAGAGCCCACCGAAGTGGGGAGCACTAGGAGGATTGAAATTCCAAGAACAAGCAATAGCGGAACTGAGCTGATCGCGATTTTTAGGGTCATTAATTAGGTCAAAAAGCCTTTTTGACGCTCCAACAAAATTAGTCCCACAGTCGGAGTACACTGCCGACGGCATTCCTCGCCGAGCCACGAAGCGGTCGAATGCTGCTAAGAAAGCATCTGTGGACAGATCTGTCACTAGCTCAAGGTGAACTGCCTTGATGCTCATACATACGAACACTGCAATATAGACCTTATATTGCCGTGCCTTTCTTAGATTAGTTTCCTTTATAAGAAGCGGACTAGTATAATCAATATCTACGCAGGCGAAGGGATGACACTGTTGGACTCGAAATTCAGGTAAATCAGACATTACTGGTTGCGTGTTGCGAGCGGACAACCTGACGCAAACAATACATTCACTGATGGCACGACGGATAACATATCGATCGCCTACGATCCAAAACTGTCTACATATTAGATCTGACATGAGACGAGGACCAGCATGACAAGCGAACCGATGCCAATGTCTAGCAACGAGCAATGACAAATGAGAGGATTTGGACAATAAAATAGGGAACTTGCGTCGATCTGACAACAAGGAATGACGAAGGCGACCTCCCACCCAGATGACGTCATTTTTATCTATAAACGGTGATAGACGAGCCAATGGACGAGAAGAGATAGTCTGACCAGATGATAGCTCTCGGAGCAAAGCCTTAAAAAATATAGCTTGCGAGCATTTGACGATCACTAATAGCGCATCATTATAATTATAAAAAGAAAAAAAACTTGTATCTACTGGAGTCTTGCGGTACAGTTTTAGAAGACGTTGTAAGCGGACAACAACCCGCAACATGCGATTTAATGATGAAAATCGCGAAAACCATTCATTTACCTCCCACGTCATTTTGACAACACAAGACACAGATCCTGAAACCTCGGGTAGCTGATTCGATGGAATCAGTTCAACCTTGGATGACCAACTTTCAACGAACTGATGTAAAAAAGAAGGACCCGTCCAATAGAGGTCACACTGAGCTAGTTCTCCAGGGCGTAATTCTCGGGAAGCACAATTGGCTGGATTTATGCTAGTATTGACATAAAACCAATGACAGAGAGGTTACAGCTCTCGAATTTTGTTCACCCGATTTGAAATGAAAATCTTATAAGACACATGGGGTGTTTTTAACCACGATAACACCACCAACGAATCTGACCAAGCGAAAACATTGTCGATAACGAGCTAAGACGACAAAGTGCTTTGGATACAACTTAACCAGCGAGCAAGTAATCCAGCAGCACATAATTTAAGTCTAGGTATGGACATAGGTTTTGTGGGGGCTAATTTGGTTTTACTACCTAGCAAGAACACCGAAACTTGGTGATGACGATCTGACACACGCAAATAAATAACAGCCGCATAACTTTGCTTGACGCATCTGCAAAGCCACACAACTCGTATCGGGAACCTTCGGATGTATCAACGAACCTCAGTACTCTAATCGCAGATAAAAAATGTAAATCCTTGACAAACGACATCCAAGAATTTTCTAATGCTAATGGGAGCCGTTCATCCCACGAAACACCGGCCTGCCAAACGCACTGCAGTTGATGTTTAGCATAAAAGATCACTGGAGACAAAAAACCAAGAGGATCAAAGATCCGAGCGATAACTGATAACATACAGCGTTTAGATGACACAAACTTAGTCGAACTGACGTTATAGTTGAAGGTGTCATCATCAGGATTCCACTTCATACCCAAAACTTGAACTGAAAGGGTATCACCATCGTTGAACAGCAGCGAGCCTAATGCCCTGTCTTCCGGAAGTATGTTCTCCAACAGCCGAGGTGAATTACTCGCCCACTTCTTCAGTTCTAGATCGAACTGGCCAAGAATCTTGATTAAGTCGCTTTGAAAAGCCTCAGCATCACTAATGCAGTCAGCACCAGTGCATATATCGTCCATGTAGGTCTGGTATAATAGAACCGACCGGACTAATGGGTACTGTTCACCATGGTTGATGGCAATTTCCTTTAATACTCTTAGCGCCAAATAGGGAGCGGAGGCGACACCATATGTGACAGTGTTCAATTCGAACTCTTGAATCTTGTCATGAGGTGAGGACCGCCACAAAATGTGCTGACATCGTCGGTATTCTGGAGCCAACCAAATCTGCCGATACATCTTGCAGATGTCCGCAGTAAAAACAATTGCATGAAGACGGAATCGAAGCAAAATATCTACTATATCCTGCTGGAGCTTCGGACCCACCAACAGAGCGTCGTTGAGTGAAGTGTTTGATGGAGGTCGAGCTGACGCGTCAAACACTACTCGAAGTTTGACGTTGTTACCCTCCATCTTGCGAACTGCATGATGAGGCAGAAAATAAACACCAGGGGATTCCGCAACTGACATATGGCCAAGCGACTCATAATCTGTCATGAACTGCCTATATGTAACGTACAATGCTTCATCCCGTACTAATTTACGCTCCAGATGCTCAAAGTGAATTAGAGCCATTTGGCGGGAGCCACAAAAGGTTGACGAGGTGGGTGGAACACGAAACGGAAGCGGAACTACAAACCGACCCGAACTATCGCAGTAAGTTTCCCGTACAAAGATTTCTTCGCATTTTCCTTCTTCGGTGAAAGACAACGGCACTTCTTCCGGCTCTTTGACTTCCCAAAATCTTTCAACTAAAGATTTAATGGACGTAGCTAGTAAAGAAGTCATGATCTGTGGTGGAACCTGCGACGGATGGGAATCAACTGGACCAAGAAGAATCCAACCGAAGATGGTCTCGAGAGCAGTGGGCAAACCGGTACCCAAATCTTCTCTACCACTACGGAGCACTCGCGGAAAAATGTCGGCTCCAAGCAGTAACTCAACCGGAGCTGGCGAATCAAACTTGGGGTCAGCTAAGGTGAGGTGAGAGCACTTGTCCCGAACGAAGGTAGGTAGCTGAACTGCTGGTAACGAACCGGTGATCTTGGGCATTGACCAAGTGTCTAAGACTATGGTACCACTATCGTCGACTGATTGTATGCTGATCTGCACTTTGTCATCGATGGTCTGCACGGATTGTCCCGCTATTCCAGACACTGGTACTGTCCATGGTTCACGACGTAGACCTAAGCGCTGAACACATGCGGATGAGATGATACTCACCTGTGAGGCAGAATCAATTAAGGCCCGAACTGGACGTGAACATCCAGCTATGTCAAGAACGTTGACCGAAGCTGTTCCCAATAAGACCGAACGAGATCGTTGAGAATCAACTAATAATGCAACCGGAGCTTTGGGCGCAGACGACTTAGCGTGAGAGTTATCACGATGTAACAGATGATTATGACGACCATGGCAAATGGAACACGACGACTTGCATTTATTGGCCCAATGATTATTGCCAAAACAAATCATACACAAGCAGGGGCGTTCCGAACGGGGGATATGGGGGGTACCTACCCCCCCAAGACGTTTTTGTCAGTCGGCAAATTATAAAGTTGGTGAAAAAACTTGATACAGTCGGCAAAATGTCAGGCTTATTTCATTATATAGCGTCGTCGTCACGGATTGTGTTGTAATTGTAGATATAGCGTCCATAGTATTATCATTTATTATTATAAACTATGTAGACCGTAGACACTATATAGACGTATAGAGTTTATCGTAATATATACGATATTATACTTAATGAGTAATGAGTAATGAGTTGTTTACACCGAATAGCGACTGTAAATTTAATTTCTGGTAATACCACTGTACAGACTACGGACTGTACGGTTTAGATTGATTAGAATGATCGGAAATATTCTCAAAATAACCGTGTTATACTTTTATCGTGAGTCACGACACAAACAATCGACAGCAGCATAACGCGCGAACGCCGTAGACCCTCGGCAGGCTTAGTTTGTGTGTGTGTGTGTGTGTGTGTGTGTTTAGATTTGTGTTATTGCTGATTATTTAATATTCTACGTTCGCGATTGCTGGGATAATATAAGTATTCTATGTTTATTCTTTTTTCTATGAAGATTTCTTGAATGTAAGTATTTATAATAATTATTATTTACTATTAAACGTGTTTACTATTTTAAGGCAACAAATGTAAGGGATACAGTAATTTTTTTACCTTATATTATATAATTGGATATTTGTAGTACATAATACATTAGCGACTAATTATTCAAGAGAGATTTTGAAACAAAGTTTCCTCCTAAAAATCTTTAAGACTTAACTACCTACCAATAAATAATTACAATAATAATAATAAGTAATATAGAAATGTTTTATATGAATTTCAAAGTATGTACAATATCTCGTATTTTATATTATGGCACACAAACACATTATGTATAAAAATTTTTGTTTTGCTCATTGGCCATTGCACAGAAATTTATAAATTCCTTATTCGAATAGCATGTAATCTGATACATTTAATTTTATTTTGAATATTTAGGGATTTTTTATAAATAAATGCATATTTAAAAAAAAATAGTAACATTAAAGTTCATTGTGTTTTTGAACAGTTAACAATTAACATTATAAAAATGAATAAGAGAAAACGTATCAAATTGGAATGTGAAGAATGTGGTAGTCAGTTCGATGACTATAAAGCTCGTCACGAGAAAGCAATACATGATGGTAAAAAGGTCAAAATTAAACATGTAGGGCCCCATTAAATCCATTTGAAGCCTCTAAGAAAAAAACTACAGTTTTTGTTCCGGATGTTCCTTCTACAAGCGTTTCAACTATGATAGCAACAGAATCTTCATCTATATCTTTCACAACTGAATCTTCTCCTAGTATAAAATCGACTTCCATGACTGAATCGTCTTCCATTACTGTTGATAAAGTGACTAACGAGTTCTTAGATGTGAAAGTTGATGAAAATATTGATATAGAAAATCCTGCGGAGACTGAAACTAGTGGAACTATGCCTAAAGATGAATCATTTTCCTGGATGAGCTGTGCTGGACAAGTTACCGCATTCCTCGCTAATTTCGAAAGGGCTAGTGATATTTTAACAAATATAAAGACTGTTGCGGTTCCAAATCCAAGAATATTTGTTATCGAAATAATTGATTGTTTGTCGAAAATCCACAAAGAATGTGAGGAGTTACTTCACTATGCTAGAAAAGGGGAAAAAGAAATCTTGGAAGAAAATGAAAATGTTGTTGTTACCGAAAATGAATTTATAGACCATGACCCAGGGAAACGAAAAAAAGACGTCCTTTCACAGCAAGACCGTCTATACTTGATATCTCTCGGACCCTTTCAGCCAAAAATGCCTGTTTTCCCAGCAAATGAATCTATAGCTTTGAATAAACAACGACGTTTCAATCCTACATGGTATAGAGATTTCCCTATGTTGGAATACAGTATTGAGAAGGATGCAGCATTTTGCTTTTCATGCTGCCTTTTTCCATTCAGTGGCGGTTCTTCTGAGTGGAGTTCTACTGGCGTTCGTATTTGGCATAAAATGAAAAGTCGTAGAACCAAAAAAAAAGGAAAACTTACTGAACATTTTACCTCACAATCGCATCAAGCAGCAATGTTTGATTACTGTCATTTTTTGGATAAAAAAAGTCACGTGAATGTTCTTCTTGACAAAAACCTAACCTTCGAAACCGGAATATAAGAGAAGAAGAACTAAAAGAGTATCATAAAAAAGTATTAGAAATATTGATTGACGTTGCCCGAACTTTAGCTAGGCAAGGATTAGCCTTTAGAGGTCATGGAAGTGATTTAGATAACGATAATAGTAATTTTTGTCAAATGGTAAATTTATTAGCTCGGCATTCCCCAATTATGGCCAAATGGTTAGAAGAAACTGACAAACGACAACATCGAGTTACTTATTTGGGGGTGCATTCTCAAAATGAATTTATCAACCTACTTGGAACAAAAACACGTGATATATTGATCAAAGAAATTAAAAATGCTGAATTCTACTCAGTAATTGCAAATACAACACCTGACTTAACGCACCATGATCGTCTCACAATCAACATACGTTATATTAGCGACAAAAATGGTGTGCTTGTACCAAATGAACGTCTTTTAAAAATGGATGTTGTTCTTACTAAAAAAACAGGCGTAGAATTAGCGGAAAAAATTTTTGGTGTGTTGAACTCGTTAGGATTACCAGTCGATAAAATTGTTTTCCAAAGTTATGATTTCGCAAGTAATATGTCCGGTAAGTATAACGGAACGCAACAAAAATTGTCAGAAATGTGTCAAAAGAATATTCCGTATATTCCTTGCCAAGCCCACAGAATTAATATTTTTATAGAATCAGCCTGCAATGCGAGTACATTAATTAAAGAATTTTTCGGTACACTTGAAAGTTTATATGTGTTTTTTTCAGGAAGTACATCTAGACACCAACGTTTAGAGGAGGATCTAAAGAATGTCGAGAATTCGTTACAGTTAAAAAATTTGTCTAAAACCCGGTGGACAGCACGGGCAGAATCTATCAAAGCGGTTTCCGTTAGCTATGAGAATATAGTACATGTTTTAGAAGATATGAAGTCATCAAAAGATTTTGATTCTAATACCAGGTGTTCTGCAATGGCACTGCATAAAAAAATGTTAGATTTCGATTTTATTTGCACCTTATATTTTTTAAAAAATATTATGTTTAAAGTAAAAAATATTACGGAGTTACTGGAAGCAGAAAAATTAAATATAATTGACGCTATGCAATTAATTGAAAGTACAGTAAAATCTTTTCAAGAAATAAATGACGATAAAAAGATTGATGCATTAGTGGAAAGTGCTGCATTCTTTGCAAAGAATTGTAATGTAGACCCTGAAAAAGATTTTAATAAACATCATCGACGTCGACTCAAACCAAAGAAAATAGACGAAAACCCTGAGACTGCTGCTATGATTGGATTTTCTCAATTTTATCGCAAAGAATTTAAAATTCTTTTGGATGTTTTTACGTCGACTGTCAACAAGCACCTTCAAAGTATGATTACATTATTACGACCTTTTCAAGAAACCTTCCGTATACCGGCGGACAGGAAAAACTGCTCAATAGATATGATTGAGGCCATGATAAAATTATGTCCGGAAATACTTTTGGATGAGCCAGAATGTTTACACTCTGAAATTCAAATCTTATTAGATGCTTCCAAGGAGTGTAAAAATTTTGATGATATTTTCAAAAAAGCATGCATGTTAAGAAATGTTATACCACGGGCATTTCGCATTGTTAAGCTAGTACTAACATCACCAGTGTCATCTGCATCCAGTGAACGTTCTTTTAGTCGTTTGAAATTAGTTTACAACCACTTACGCACGACAATGAGTGACGAGAGACTTGATTCTTTATTAGTACTATTTTCAGCTCGAGATATTGTAGATAAAATAAATATTCAGGATATCGTTAACAAATGGTCTCTCCTCAAACATCGGCGTGTGAAAATGTAAGCTACAGATTCGTATTAATAATTACAAATTATGTGATTACTAACTAAGCATAATAATATTAATATTATAATATAAATTGTATACTAAATATATATATTTTTGTTTTTAATATAAATATTAGATTATAATGATGATAACTATAAACAAGTTTAATAAAATATTTGAATACGTACATTTGTTTTGTATTAGCATTTTACTCATACATAAAAACATAAGTATACAATAACTACATTTTTTTCTCGTCATATTAATGTAGTCGGCAATTTTTTAAACTGATAACCCCCCCCCCCCCCCAAATAGGGAAGCCTCGGAACGCCCCTGTACACAAGCGATGCTTACTCACTAGAACGTAGCGATCATCAATGGACAATTGTTTAAACGTGGAGCACGACTCTAAAGAATGCGAATTACTGCACTGTAAACATCGTCTGGCTTCTTCACCCTGCTTGTTAGTGACTAAAGCCACTGGAGAACCCTGATGTCCCCGAAAAGCTTTCGCGACCTGAGCTTTCGCGTTGGATGATTTGGGCAGATTTATGACAGCCTTTGTCTGGGTCTTCGGTGTTGAGTAGATCTGAACTGAACCGGAATTTTCTAACACCTCTACCCGATCCTTGACAAAACAGAGCAAATTGTCCACCGTAGGAAAATCGACCGTATTACCCTGTTCAAACAGACGACGAGTAGTTGGTGGCAAACAGCGAACAGAAATCGTAAATAACAGAAACGAACCGATATCAGTTATATTTAGAGATCTGAGCAAGGCTATGTTTTCACAGAATGTATTTAAAAAATTTATTAATGCGGCCGGAGACTCTTGTTGATTATTCATAGCGGTTAACATTTCGTTAACTAAAGTGGTCGCTAGCTGCCGAGGCTTGTCGTATCTTTGAACTAAAGCGGACCAAGCAAGCTCATAGGTGGATTCAGAAACAGTAATACCTTTCACTACCTCATTAGGACCAGACTGTAGACAACCTAATAAATAATAAAATTTTTCAATGTTACTGAGATGAGCTCTCCGACCTACTAAAGTGGTAAACCGATCCCTAAAATCGGGCCACGATTGCAAACGACCATCGAAAGTAGGTAATGGAATGCTGTTGTACTTCGTTCAGTTACGTATTGCTAAAAATATTTAATATGATAAATTTAATTGTTTAAAACAATATTTATTATTTAAAACTGACTAAAGTAAGAATGTAAAACCATTTATTTGAAAATAGGATAAGTTTTTCTGAGTGTGATAAACAGCATGCAATGAGGAGACGTGATGCTGCTGCAGTCATATTGAAGCAATCTACTCTTTAGGCCTCAATGCTTCAACAGATAGCTCTATAATTCAAAATATCTTTAGCTGCTGAGGATCCACAGCTATTGGACAAAGTTCACCTGAAATGATTCCCTGTGGAAGCTATGATTGAGCTGGATAATGATGATTTTCAAATAATGTAAACGAGGTTCAAGGTACTTTCTCAATGCTAAAGCTTTGTTAAAGTTCCAATCTAGTTCAGATAGCCTTGGTTTGGTCAGTGAGACTAGTGTCGTTGATAAGCGATGGTGATAATACTGGCTAATGGTGAATCCAACAGCTCAGGTCGGTCCCGTTATACCAGTAGAATTCTCTGGTTCAGCATTCCAGTTACC